CAAAAGACCAGGAAGCTATCACAGACCAGAGGAGACCATGGAGCATGGAGACACGACAACCAACGCAATGTGGTTGGATCCTAGATTGGAAAATGAACATCAGTGAAAAAATAAGCCCTGTCCTCTTTCCTATGTGTCTCTCCTGAGTGTCTTTCATAAGGACCTTTGTCATTGGATTTAAAGCCTACTCAGATAATCTAGAACACTCTCATCTTGAGATCCTTAATTTAACTACATCTGCAAAGACTCTTTCTCCAAATAAGGTCACATCCACAGATTCCAGGGGTCAGAGTGTGGACATGTATTTTGCAGGCCACCATTCAATCCATTTACAGATGTTTAACATTAGGGGAAGATGGGTGCCGTGTATATGGGAACTTGCAGTACTCTCTTTGTAAATTTTCTGTAAAATTATTCCAAAATAAAAACTGCATTTAAAAAATAGTTAACATTTAAGCAAGGTTCACTTATGACATAAAAATTCAGAGACTAAAAGAGTAAAAAGAAGCATCCACAGACATCCCTTTGTAGGCAGCAAAACTGGTGGCAACTGTTATCTATAAATTTGCAATGAATAACACTTAGATTAATAACAATACTTTAGCAGACACTTGGATTATATTTTGTCTTTGAAAGGATGTCTAAATCACCAAAGATAGAAAACCACCCTGATCTTTCAAATATCTTCAAGCAGAACTTGGAAGCGGGGAATATGAAATTGCTTTCATATTTGGTTACTTTTCTTCCCCTTTTTAATTACAGATTTAGAAGAAGGGTCAATCACTGCAAAAACATATATATTACTTGCAAATTCAAAAATTATATGATTTTGAGTACTCATCACATCACACTAAAATTCCAAAATCTAAAAAATCTGATTTAATTTATTCAGTGCTTCGAACAAATTCAAGATAAATGGTTCTAATGGTTGATCCTTCCTCTCTATCAACAAAGACATTCCTACAACTCAAACTGGTAATTTAAAAGCTTAAAATAATTATGTGGAGTTGCCTGGCCTGAACTTTCTTTTTTCTTTTTTGGTCTTCTTTCTAAGATACAGTCATATATAATGGCCATGGATCTGTTTTCTTTTAATTTCCTTGGGTTATTTTCCTTAATATTATAAAATGTGATCCACTGTCTCAAATGGTTCACGTTGAAAAGTGATTTCAGACTTATACACAATTCTCACTCCTATGGTTAGAACTCAGCACCTACTGGTGTACAGGAGAGAGTCTGCAATCAGATGACAATCAGATACAGACAAAATCTCAGACACGGAATACAAGAACGTCAGGTCTCACAGCCCCTGCCTGGATCCACCCTTAACTGCAGGCCAACTTATCTGACTTAGGCAGAATGACCACCCTCTCGTTCCAGAGACGTCCAGTGCCAGAATGCAAATTAACAGAAAAGACGGGAAATTGACTGAAGGTTCTCTGAGCTTCTGAACACAGAATGTACCAACTTTCTTACAACAAGTCACTCAGGAAGCTTGTTAGGGAGAATATAATCCCTGTCTTCTTCCCTCTGAGAACACACTACAGATCTTCTCAGACCCCACCTTTTCCTGACCACCAGATCCCCAAATCAGAACTTATTCTGGTATTTATTTATTTATTTATTTATTTATTTTTGGGAACCTATTCTGGTATTTAATTGGCACATTTACTGATGTAATGGAAAGAAGGTGAAGATACAGCATATCATGATGTTTAAAAACTATACATATGAGCTTTTCCCCTCATAGCCAGTTCGTAAGTCATAAAACCATCTGCTTTCCTTACCAATCCAGAGATGTCCTCTTATTTGTCCTCCTTCACCTCCTCCTGTCTCATGTGAACCAGACGAACACTCCCTTTCTCATGCCCATAACCCAGATGTAAATTGTAGTCATCCCACCTAAAGCCAAATGATCCCTGAAATGTGCCAAGTGTTCAGTTCTACTCAGCAGTGTTACCTTCAGAAAGAAGCCCTTGCTTTGGCTGCAAGAGGAAAGTTTCTGGCAGTTGTCTCCTTTCATTTTCCACCATCTGTTTGTTTCTATACCTTCCTAATCTTTCTTTCTTCACAGAAATCGTTCATTTTCATCAAGTTTCATGAGAAAAGGTGTCTAAGTGACCATCCCTTCCCACCAACACCCTAAGGACTGTTCCAGAAGAAGAATTATAACACCTAGACTTCTAAGCTAGGTATGCAAAGAGGATTTGAGCTAAATTATTTTGGTAGAGGCAGAACATGGGGCATCTGAGTCTTACGGTGCAAACCCAGGCTCTGTGGGCATTGTCTCTGCTCCCTGTATCCTATCCTTCTAAGGGTCCCTGGAGAGAGCTGCCTCTGGAACATGCATGGAGCCTTTCACTCTGGGCTGTAAGATTCCTCAGCTTCAATGATCGCCCCTACCATGACTACTCTGCTTAGAATCCTACAGGTTTGAGGTCCACTGCCTCTTCTGCTTGCTGATGGCCTTCCTCCCATTTCACAGCTCTCACTGTCTCCCCGCTTCCCACATGCCTGAATTCATTGCTTCCCCACTACCTCTTAAGTATCATTTAAAAATTTACTAGATACTGAAAGTTACTTTATCTGTTCTCCTAAAACAACATCTGTTATTTCAAAGCATAGATGTCATGCCAGATGAAAATATGAACTTCATTTGGCTGTGGATATGAATATGAATAAAAATGCTTGTAAGTATGGCTCAAGAAGAACCTATTCATAGAAAGGTAATACCTTTACTATAATGAAGAACTCACCATGATAACTGAGAAGTCACTCAAAAGTGATCTAAGAATAGGACTTTAGAAACTAAGTTGTGCCATCTGGACTGCATAGATCAATCAGCAAGACTAGAGAGCAATGTTGAAAGAGTGAGATTTTCAGTCAGAGCATTAAGGCTCAAATCCTATATCCACTGCTTACTAGCCATGTGACCTTGAGATTATTTCCTTTGAAGTGCACGTGCATAATAAATTTTTTAGTAAATCTGTTGTGCTCCCATTTTTCCATGCCTGACTATACTCATTCCCTTTGGCTTCCAACTCCTCCCATTAGAAGTGGAGATGGTGTCCTTGCTCTCTGAATCAGGGCTGGCCTTGCACTCTGGCCAGCAGGATGCAGCAGAAGTTATGAAGTACTGGAGCCTAGCCTGGGCCTTGAGAGGACTTCATGCACCACTCACTCTCTGGAAACCTATACCATCAATGTCAGCGAGCCTGGGCTAGCCTGCTGGAGACACAGATATCCTTCCTGTTCCAGGAACACAGAAGCAAAAGCAGTTTTTCCTATTGATTCCACTGTAAGAAAAGCCCTAGAGAAGGGCTCTCATTAGCCTTGTTTGGGTCATGTCATACCTGAACCTACCATGATAGCCAGGCGAATGTAGCTCTGGGACCCTATTAGGTCTTGTGTCGATTCCTGTGTGAAGATAGGAAGCTGAGTCTGCATTAGCAGAGTAGGAAAGGAGAGGAGATGTGCTGAGTTGCAAAAATAATAATACCAGAGGCCTGGAATAATTCATTACATGTACAACTGTCCCTCACTATCACTGGACAACATCTTTGGACTTGGAGTCTACAGTCCAGTAAGGCAGAAGGAAAATAAACTTGTCCTCAGAAACAGAATTCGGGGCTCTTTGCTTAGTTCTCTCTCTATAATCAATCTTTATAATCCTCTTAACCACCATGATATGGAACAGCTCTGGGAATATAAGGGAAATTAAACTAACATACATGTAGTTTTAAGGAAACACACTTTATTATACTTGACTTTCCATTCTGTCACCAACACAGAAATATTCCCGTTGCATTCTAACAAGGTTTTGGTGTTCTGGATACTGAGATTTTAGAGGCTTAAGTTGTCATGGCTGAATTTATACCTAGGCTTTAAAGATGATGTCTCTTGTGAGGTAAATCACAGAAATGTGGAGAAAGAAGAAAACTTAGAGATAACTTAAATCCAAATTGGGTGAAGATAGCAAAGATATCTCAAGTGATGGGCTTTGGGGCCACAGATGCTGCAGGTGTTGCTACTGCTGCTCTTGTCCAGTGCATGGTGTAGATGCTGCAAGCATAAATGTGGAATCCAGGTATAGTGCTGAACTTGGGGGATACTTTATTCAGTATCATTATGCAGACTGAATGTCTTATAAAATTTAAAACTAGTAAATACACAATCTAGTGTAATTTACAACAAACTGTTGCTATTGCTCAGAGATCAATCCAGAAATTAGGAATTCCAGCAAACAACTGAGCAGATTAAGATGTATGCCCTCTACCCATTCTGTCTACTTAATGATATTCTAATCACTGTCTCATTTTCATTTGAACTGAAATGCACAGCTAACTGTATAATTTTAAACAGCTAAACTAGTTAAGGAAATGATTTGCTTGTGTCAACTCTTCCTGGGGTATGTCAGAGCCTGACAGAAATTTTCAGGTAATTACATTACCTTAGACAGCAGTTGTGTTATGAAGAAACTTAAAATTCAAGGACAAAGTAAATATTTTTTGCTGCACATACGAGTAAAAAATTGCAGAACTATCTCATTAATTCCAAGAGGTGTGAGGAATTCTTTAATACTTAATTGTATTTAATTGACCATTCCTTTTATCTCCTTGAATTTAGTCTGCCTATGACTTCATCTACAAAACGTAAAAACCACATGTAGACTGAATCAGCAGAGTTAGTATGTGCTCACATGTGCTCACAATACCATATCTTACCAAAGCTTACCTGTAGTAAGTTTAGCAGAGAGGAAAACTACTGGAGAAACAAGAAACACAGAAAATAGTCTTAACACTATATTTAGGCCACAAAGGACAATTGGCATGCCAACAGAAAGAAAACATTAAAGTTCAGTTAATTAAATCCTTTCTAGAAAAAATTCTGGGTACAAATAAATATTTACAAATAGTATTTAAGATAGATAAATGGACGCAGATACAGATCTTCATTGTAAGGTAAAACGGAAACACAACTACAAAGCTAGAAGGAATCAGGAGATCTACAGGTGGAGAAATTTAGGGCCCAAGGAGTGACTTACTATTAGCTCTGCTATTTGGTGACAAAACCACATCTAGAATCTATCCATGGCTCTGGCATTTTCACTCATAGCTGTAGCCAGTTCATCTATTTAAGCTGATCTACACAGGATGCATGCAGAAAGCAGCTTTATTCTTTTTTCCAGTATCTCTTCAAACCTGCTTTTTGGACTCCTTTTCTATGTTTGAATGGAAACGTGGGACGGTCCCACAGTTCTCTTTGTTCCTTTAAGTTGAAAGAACAGTTTTATTTGGGTATTTTAAAAGCCCCTTTTGTTTACTGCCCAAATCCCCAAATCTTCTTTAATTTAAACTGGCTCCATCTTCCTAAGATTCTGGCAGGAGCATGGAGTTAGTTTCCTCTGGCTTTTTTGCTCCACCTCTGCCCATGATCACACAGCAAATAAGCAGCAGGGCCAGGATTTGAAGCTAGACGGTCTGTGTCTAGTTAGTTAACCTCCTCTCATTGGCCTCCTGTAACAGCCTGTTAGTCTCCCGCAACAGGCCCTGATTACTGGCTGTCTACCCCTCCAGGCAACCTTTTAAAATAACCCCACTTGTGGTCTAGGGGAAACTCCTACCTTTGCCACACCCACTTCACAGTGGTGGAGATAGTCTCCCCCAAAGCACTCTCTCTCTTTTGAGCCTCTGTAGGTCCAGGTGGCTCCAGCCATTCTCTTTAGTGAGCGTCGCTGTCCTTGTGTCTCCCAAACTGCCACATACATCAAGTTCTCCCCACAGTTCCCTGTAGGCGGACACGAATCTTACAGTATGCCAGTAACTGTCTCAAACAGTCTTCATCACCAATTCTTTGGCTCCAACCCCAGAGGTGAGCAATGGGCTAAAAGAGGCAGAACTGGTTGCCCGGTCATATAACACAAACTGCTTAGGTGATCTCTTTAGGATTTGTAAGTATTTGGTACCTACTGTGTTTATCTTGGCATTGGGGCTTTGACCATATCTCTGAGACAATAGGAAGAAAGGTCACATTTAAAATCCTGATACTGTCTCTGCTGACTAATGACATCGAAAAGAAACAAAAAATAAAACCTACTAGGATTATTGGGATAAATTAGTATTGAGAAATTTTTAAAGATGACTTTTCTTAAGGATTCCTGTTAGCTTAATAATGCATTAAAAATAAATATAAACTCTTAGAATTAGATGGGACTTCTAAATCCATTCAACTATTTATCAGTTGCTAAGATATTTCCAAGTTCTTACCCATCCATGCTTGAACACCCTAATGATGGAGAAATCACCATCTCTTCAAATAGTTTGTTTCCATCTGGGATTAATTCCAACCATCAGAAAGTCATTGTATGAAACTCAGAACTGCCTCTTTAAGCTTTCCACCCCTAGATCTTAATTTGATCCCTTGGGATCACACAGAACAAGTCTAATCCCCCTCACATGACAGAGTTCCAAACACGTGATGCCAGTGTCACTCCACCTTCCAATACTGCATTTTCTAATACCCAGTTCTTCAGCCACTTCCTCTGTAACACAGCTTGCATTGTTCTTGTTATCTTGCTTGTCCTTTTACTGAATAGTCTCTAGCCTGCCTATGGTCCATTTGAGGTGCAGCACCTAGAACTGAAGAGAGAGTGGTCCAGCCAGTAAAAAAGGGAACATCTCTCTCCTTCACCGTAGCACACTTTTTGATAAATAAAAACTAAGTTAACATTTACTCTGCTGACAGCCATGGCACAAGCTGATTTATACTATGTTCACTGCCAATGACTTCCCTTAAGTCTTTTCCAGATGTGCTACAGCTAAGATATGCCTTACCCTGTATACATGCTGGTGACTGTAGGATGCAAGTAATAGCCTTTACACATGTTTTCTTTAAAATCATTCTTTTAACACTCACCAAGTTCAAGTAGCCTGAGATTTTAGAACTTGCCCATTCAATTTCTTCTAACTTCCTATCATCTCAAATTTTACAAGAGCGCTTCAACATCTTCATCCAAATCACCAATAAAAAGGATTAAAGGAAAAAGGCCAAGGGCATCCCTAGAATTATCCCTCCATTTGACACCAGTTTATTAAACAACATCCCCTTGGGAGACTTTCAGCTAATTATCAACATACATAATGACACACCTCACTTCAGCCAGAGGTGCACAACGAGAAACTCAGTCACAGGCCTTATTTAGATTCGGATTTCTAGGTTCTCCACCCTTCCCAGCTCTGGAGGTCTGGACACCTTGTTAAAAAAGAACTTTTGCTGTGATGGATGTTAAACTCATTCTGGTTGCTCATGAATAAGTAATGCTGCTCCTAAGGCCTCACCAATCATTTACTTGCTAGTACAGTACAGACTTGAGAGCACGTTTGTTGTTTCAGACCAGAGTTCACTGTAATTGCTCCTCTTTCCTTTTGAAAGTCTGAAGGACAGAATCCTCAAACTTCCCCCATTTTTCAGCCCTTCTTGGTTCTTCATGATTTCTCACAGATTCCTGACAGAAGTTCTGTGTGCTCAATTTCAAGTTGCCTCGATACTCAGGAACTGAATTTATTCAGCAGAAAGACTTCAAATCTCTAATGGATCAGCTCAGAATTCTCTTTCAGCAGCTAAAACAAATATTACCATTAACACAACTAAAGCCACTCATCAGAAACACAGGTTTTGGGTTTTGTGCTGTTGGAGCTACACTGTGCCTCACAGGAGCACCGGTCTCAGAGGAGATCTTCCAATGCTGTCTGTTCCCCCAAAGAAAGACTCTAGCACCACGAAAGAGAAAAGTTACTGATATAGAAACACATGTTCCTAAAAATACCCTTGGAAATGTATGGATATGAAACACATGCCACATGTATTTAGTTATAAAAATAAAAAATCTGATTTTTATCTAGCAACTATTTATTTCCAGAAAGTAAGTGACTAAGCACTGCAGTCAAGTCATACCTGACTTAAAAAAAATTAAGACAGATTGAGCTGTATAACCCACAAAAGAAGCGTCTATTAATAATTCAACTCCAATTGTTATGTATATTTCCTGACAGGCTGGATGCTGAATAAAAGCACCAGCTTTATTTTCCTGATTGGCTTAGGACATATAGTTCTGTGGCACAGGGAATCTTACTACTGAAAGATGTTTCATTTTTGCCTGGACTGGAATACTGGATTACTCAAAATAGCATATTATAACAGGTCTTTCCTATGCAACTTGACCAGATTTTTTAAAAAGTCAAAGCAATATCTCTGAAAAACTAGTATAAAACCGGGTTTAAAAAACACCTAGGGTGATTCTACTCAAACCATGGATATTCAATTGCTAATTTCATTCCAGTTAAAGTAACTGAATGTGCGTCTATAAATTATAGTGTGGATTTGGTGCTTGGCTTGTACTGCCACCTAGTGGTTTCCTGCTTGTACTAACATCAGGCCCGTTACATTTCTTGAATTATTATTCATTCAGCAGTCTTTTTGCAGTATCACCTTCAATACCACAAGTCAGTGCCTCCTCTAAGATCTCTAAAATGGTGACGCAGAAGAGATTTTACATGAAGTCTTTGGTAACCAAGTTAAGACAAACCATATCTTATTCAAACACTTCACTTATATGTGAACACAGTAAGCATAATGATTAGTGAATAATAAAAAATCAGTAAGAAAAAAAACTTAAGTTCAATCATACCCCAAAATAAGAACAAAATGAAAGAAAGAGACAAAGCCTCTCTAAACATAGACCTGCCTAGCTTTTAGTTTAAAAAAAATCAACATATAAATATCAGAAAAACAAATTGGAAATTTAGGGGTATAAATTTGCATTTATACAAATGAGTAGTGTTACAAAAATATTTTTCACAGAATTTCTTAAGGTATTAATACTTTTTGAGATGTCAGAATTCATGTTTCTCTTTTGTGAAGTATTTCTTTCTGTCTTCAGTCCTACTGGATTCTCAGTATTCATATGAATTAACATGAATATTTTATTATTGAGTATTATGTTTGTTAGAATTATAAGAATTTGGCTAATAGATACATGGAATTTCTCTTTCATTATTAAAGATAAAGCTTTAAATTTTGCCAAATCAAGATTATTATTTTCTTACTCCTTTCATTTATTTATTTTTAAATACTATTTATTATTTTGAAAGGTAATACTTTCTCAAGCCAAAAAGTAAGAAAAGTCTCTCTACTATGTCTTCATTCACTGTAAGCAGTTTCCTTCAGAAACAGCCATTGATTGTTAAGTTTAGCAAGTCCTTTCTACCATCAAACAAATATTTTCACTTAGCCTATTACTTGATTATTTTCCATTTAATTCTTTAAACTACACAGGCCTTATTTTGATTTATATCAAATATTTGTTTTCTAAAATGACAAATCACTCTTGCCAGCAACATGTGTGAGTTAAGCCCTCCTTTCTCTGATGATTTGTGATGTTTGCTTTAAGACATATTAAGATTTAACATTTAGTGAGAATGGCTTATTAGTTATATTTTCTACTACACTGACAGGTGAGCGCCTGTGCCAATATTATGTTGATTTAATTATCTTATAAAGTTGAGACTATGTTTTAGTATTTAATGTTAGAATATGTTTAATATTGAGTAATAAGGAAGGAGTTAGTCCTCCACCATTACTCTTCTTTTTCTAAATTGTTCTGGCTATTCTCATCAGTTTCTTATTCCAAATGGACTTCAGAATAATTTTGTTAGGTTGCCAAAGAATTTAACCAAGTTACTTTAATAAAGAGACTTTGTGAGAATTGTTCTAAATTATAAATTATTTTGGGAAGAATTATTACCTTTACAGATAGGCTGTTAGTAGAAAAAGCAGGATTAGTGATAAGCCTTCCAACGTTCTTATGCTGCATGGGTTTTCAAGGAACAAATTGATGAAGAAACTCAAAAGGTGTTTTGTGCCTGCAATGTGGCAAGAGATATGCAGAGAAATCCCCTAATTCAGAATAATTTAAAATGCTGGATAAAATACTTTAAAATGTCTTTCTAAATG